AAAATATTTAAAAATTTGTAGATTTTTTTCTATTAAATATAAAGTGATCTAAAAATGGTAGCTGTTATTGGAACATATAGCCCCCTGGCGCTGTTGAGTCTCTCAAGGCTTACGTGCGTGAACTGACGCTCATCAGCACCCAAGTTAAAGCATACAGGTCAGAGGAAAATGCTCTCTCCAGCATGCAGTGCCTTTAGAAGGTTTGAATTCAACTTATAGTAATGAGGAGACTGTAAAATGTGTAATGCAGACTAGGTATCAAGATGTTATGATCAATTAAAAGGATGTCATTTAAAACATACAAAATTAAAGGTTGCCTGATATTTATTTGCTGTTCCTTATGAAACATTAAGCAAACAGTTGCATAAATGTGTATCCAGTATATATGTATGCATATATGTGTATTTAAGAAAGGTAAGTTACTAACTATATACACTCTGGGTGATAGGTTTTATGAGATAGGTGTTTATGCACATTTACTATATATGTATATGTGTTACATATTTTATATAATTTACGTGTCTATATATGTCATAGATAGGGGCAAAGATTAGAAGAATCCACTACAAAAAGACGATTCTTCTTGGATATTGGCATTTTAGGCCATTTTTATTTTCTTTCATGGCGCTTTTTTCGGTGTTCTTTTCATTCTGAATCAAGTAGAATTACTTGATTAAATAAGAAATATTGTAAATATTATTAATGAAAAGCTCTATTAGGCATTGGGCAGAAATTTTCTTACACTTAACAAACAGGGAAACATCTGGCAAGCAATTCACGAAAATGAGCCTTTTTCATCTAACATGATAATTTATAGCAGTTTGAAAAAATAGTGGTCCCAAAGTGCAGTGCCAAATGGCTGTCTCTAGTCCCTAAGTGCAAGAAAGCTGTGATGAGACTCACAGAGAAAACATGTGCTAGCTCAGCTGTGTTCAGGCATGAATTATGGTGCTGTTGGCTGTGGATTCAATTGCAGAGACTCAACAACATATATTCAATTAGCTGTCTTTAAACAGAAACGCACAAACCAAGGTTATACATTGATCCTTGATCGGTGATGCCAATGCTGTGACCAAAAGCTCACATAAATCCCCCGCTGTGTTTCTTCCAGGAGGAAAGGGTTGGTGTCTGTTAATTCCGTGTTCACGGTGACTTTATAACTAGCGTGAATAATGAGAATTGACTGTATTAATTGAAAGTATTTTGGGAGGCCGGAGCATTTTCAACACAGGAAGAGAGGTGCCAAGTATCTTTTACCAAAAATAATTCTCCCAGGGCTGACAGCCCCTGACTCCACCTCAAACCTCCTGAGCCCTGGGGCACAGGTTCCCACCATGGGAGGCAACTCTGGTCCTGGACAGGGTTGAGCACTGGGCTCACCTCACAGGCCTGCCGGGGACAGGTGGGGTGGCCTTGCAGATTGCAGGATCTTCTGTGGAAACAGGACACAGCACCGTCTTCGGGGGCTTCGTGGGGGTGGGCTGAGGTACTGTGCGTCTCACAGGCTACACTCCCTCAGGAATGCAGACCCAGCCCCTCAACAAAACCACCCCCTCTGCAGTCACACACGCAGACCCTGAAGAAGGGAAAAGCAGGAACTTCCTCCTGGAAACTCAACTAGAAAAGTCTTGTCTCCACATCACCAGTGGTTTTTATGTCCTCTGGGTGTCAGGGATCAGCTGGAAACCAGTGACTGGCTAACTCACCTGGCTCTGTCTCCAAGGTCCCTGGCAAAGGAAAGGCGAGGGGCCTGCGGGGTGGTTGGGCAGCTCCCTTCTTCCCTGAGTCCCACCAGAGAACACGGGTCCCTGGAGCAGAGGAGCTGAGTGAAAGCAGAGGCAGGGCTGGCTGGGCCCCTGCCCTGCAGGGCTCGCAGACTGCACACAGACTGCAATGAGTCCCAAATTGCACCCCGATAGACTGGCAGTGTCTGAAGCCCGAGGCCCTGCGTCTGTTCCTCAGGCCACGATCCGGCCAACGGTTTGCTGGCGAAGAGCCATGAGATTCTAACTTTCCACTTTAGAGTTTGGGGCAAGTGCTGACCCCCAGCTAGTGTTCGTGAGCACTCCAGCACCGGCCCGTCTGGTTTGGTGGGAAGCGTGATCTCCACTCCCATTGAGCTAATTCACACCCAAGCCTTCATGAGCAGAAGAACCCTGGGACTGGCCCCTCCCCTGGGAATCAGTGCCTGAGTGAGAGAGAGACAGAGAGAGGCAGAGACACAGAGAGAGAAAGGGAGAGAGACAGAGAGAAATTCCAGAGTGAATGCTAGATTTACATTCTGCAGATGAAATATGCCCAGAAAACCTCTGAACAGTATGCGCCTATTTGCACGAAAAACCAGAAAGTAGGATAAAAAGAAGAAAGGACAATGTGAGGTTCACCATCAGTTTCTCACTGTCATATATTTGATAGACGGGTTTGCTACAAAATTCTGGTCAAGGCAGAAATAACATGGAGTGTGGATGAAACAGAGATCAGCAAAATTTTGGAGCCGGACCAAGGGCAGATACATTGGGGTCCGTTATTCTATTCTCTCTACTTTGGTGTCTATTTGAAATTTTTCACAACGAAAACTTGGGTTTTTTTTTTTTTTTAACAAAATGTAAACTAGTTAAAACAAACAGTCATTCTCTTAAGGCCCTCTGTCTCAGTAGCTGGGAAACAAAGCCCACCTGGGGCTGTCCGTTAGACTCAACTGGGAGCCTTTAAAGGCGCCAGCTGCTGAGCCACACCCCAGGCCAATGAAATGGGACCTCTGGGACCTCTGGGACCTCCTGCCACCCGCCCCGGCACTTCTGAAGGCCACAGCAGATGGGGATCCTCTTCTGGCAGAGCCTGGGAACAACCTTGTCAGGGAAAATTGCCAAGCCCAGAGGACACGTGAGCTGCAGCCTTGTCACTCTCTTCTCTCTTCTCTCTGATGGAAACGGGAGTCCCGGAGCACAGCAGCCACAGTGTGAATGAACTGCACACCCTTGGGAATCCTAGAACCATGACGACACAGATACACTGCAAGCGTTCAGGAAGAAACAGACCACGCAGAAAACTTAAGAGCCTGGGGCTGTGAATGGGAGCTGGAGGCAGGTGAAGGTAGGGGACTCCCAATCCTCACGCACGAGGCTGGGGTTGAAGCATCTCACCGACCGAAGACCATACCAGGGCACTACTGTGAGCACTGACCCTCTCGTGCCCCAGGCTGAACGTCGACTCGTTTTCTGACGTGAGATAGTCGGCCTTTGAAGAAGGCAGGAGCGACATCATGTGAATCAGAGTTAAGAAACAAAAATGTTGCAAGTGAGCAAATGAGCAATGGTTTAGGAATAAATGACCAGAGACACAGGCTAAATGGGATGGTTAGATTTATGACTGGGAGTAGGAAATGTAGAGAATGAAAAATATGCACATGCACATGCAAACACACACACATACATGTGTACCCACACATAGGCACAGTGTGCACACACACACATGCACATGTGTGCAGAGTGCTATGCAGATCATTTTGTTGAGTGCTTTACAAGCACCGTGTACTTTAATCCTAGCACCTCTCGGTAGATACTGATAGAAAATTTAAGGTTTAAGAGATTAAATAATTCGCACAGTCACGTAACTAGTGAGCAGAAGTGAGGGTCAGAAATCGCCTGATACTATTATGGAGTAGGAGACCCTCAAAGGAGCAAGCTCTCTCTGGACCTTTCCATTCCCTGGTCCTTCACAGTCTTAATTAAAGCTCTCCTGGGAGCTATGATCAAACCGTGACACCCCGTCCCAGCTCCACCCCCAGGGTGACTAACATTTGACATTACACAAACTGGGCTTTCTTCCTTCTTGCATCACTGACAAATGTCTTCATCTAGAGAGGCCTGTGGAGGACCCCTCTCTTGGGGTTCCAGAGCCAGGAGATTCATAGACCGCAGGGCACGGGAAGGCTGGTGGGGGTAGGTGGATGGACCTGCCAGGGGCCAGTCTGAACGAGGAATCAAGGAGGAAGATGATGGTGACAGTAACGGTGATATAATACCCACATATTACCCGGACTCATCACGGGCCGGCCACCATCTCCACTACCCTGTGAGGTACCAAAATGATCCCCACTTAGCAGGGAAGGGACTGAGGCACTGGAAGGTTACCTAATCTGCCAGGATCCCAGAGCTAGACAATGATGGGGCTGAATTCACACCCAGGACATCAGACTTCAGAAGCTGCTCCCAGCGTGGCCTGGGAAAAGATGGAAATGGAAACCACGCGGAGGCCACCCATCCCCAAACCAGTTGCCTTCAGCCACTGGGCAACAAAAGCAGCTCTGGTCCTCCGTCCCTTCCCAGGCATTGTGCCAGCTGGGGGGACTTTGGGGGTTCATACAGTAGACTGAGGGGCCCCAGGGGGCAGACGCCCAGGTTTCCCTCTGAGTAACTCCCTGCAGATAGAAGCCAAGTCCTAGAGGCTGGCTGGCTGAAATGACCAGTGGGCCCAGTAAGTCCCATCCCCAGAGATGGTGTGCACTGAGGGCACAGACCAGGCCGCAGGGGAACATGGATCACCCTCAACGAGCCTGTGTGGACACCCACCTGTCCTCTCGAGGTAGGACAGGACTCATGCCCCTCCTCAACACAGTGCATGGGGCGGGGCGGGGAAGACCCACATTTCATCTCCAATTTGGGGTTTCCACAGGTATAATCTCACTTCCCAGAAGACTTTATTATAGAATTTAAAAATTAAAATTTAGATTTTAAATGAGAGAAAAGGCCTCTCTGTTGAACTGACACATCTTCCTGCTTTCACCCAGTTTCCTTCTCCATGTGTGAAGGTCAGGATTTCGCTGTGGGATCATCTGGGCAGACTGGTAGGGAGCAGGAGTTTGGACAAAGCGGGCCGGGCCGGGTGGTGAGAGCTGCAGCCAAGCAGTGGGAGTGGGTCTCGTGATGCTGTCGTCTCGACTCCAGACACGTTTCAGTATTTCCTAACCCAATTTTTTTTTTTAATGTGAAGGCAAATGATTTATGAGTCATCAAATATCTTTTATTTTGAGCATCAGGCCACACGGTACATCTTGTAAAAATCCCATGATACTGCATGCTCAAAGGATTCCTAACGCCTGTGTGGGTCCTCCACGGAGAGGGGTCACTTCTCTCGCAAGGGACACGTCCTCCCTCAGTCACAGACCACACTCCAGTCTTTGGATTTCTCAGGGGACTCGGCTTCTCTTCCAGCCGGGAATCCACCTGAATCAACCTCTGCCCCTCTCGTCCCTGGCCAAGGCTTTCTCTGCCTCGGGGACACAGGCCCTGTGCCAAGGTGGACGGACACGGGGTTGGGACACGGGCGGGTTGGCCTAGGCCGAGCAGGAGGAGGACAAGGGGGGCCACCCTCAGTACTCGATGTTGAAGGGATAGTCCTTGTGATTTCCAGCTCTGAAAAACAGAGGACAAATCCAAACCAGAAACAGAGAAGGATGATTATTTTTGCAGAGAAACATTTTAAAAGACGCAGTTATGGATCTTTAAACTCCCTAATGTATTAAATTTAGTCTTGGGATTCGTCCAGTGGCTCATCCTCAAACAGAAAAGAATCATGAGAAGCTAAAATGTGTATGATAAACACCTACTGAGGAACCAATCATTCAATCTGAGTTTTCTGAAAGGAAGCAAAGGACGAGCCGTATTTACATGGGGAACGTCGCCAGTCGGAGATTCCTGTCCAGGCCTAACATGTCATTCATATCCTCTTCTGATAATTCGAAGTCAAACACCTGGAACCAAAATAAAATGTTCATAGGAAATTCAGTTCAGTGAGCACTTGGCTGGCATATGTTACCTGCAAAGCACTGTGCTAAACCTATGGGGGGGGGGGGGGCACAAAGACGTAAATGGGACACTTCACGCAACACCCGAAACTTCCCCTGCACGTCAGCCTCGGCTCCTGGATGCTCTTGGACTTGGACCATTTGCCCGGGGTTGGCTGAGCTGGGGCCGATTAGGAGCCCTGGAAAACATGGGACATGTATTGCATTGGTGCTGTAGGAGCGAGGGACATGCTGTAACCATTAAAAGGTGCAATGAAGAATTCTTCCCATTTCTCAAGAAAAACCCCAAAACAAAAGAACATCTGTTCCACCCACCCCACCAGCTAGGGAGACACTTGGTCGCCGGGACTGTTAACTCTATAACACAGTGCCATTTTTATTTCTGTTCCTTCGAAAACAGTATTCCAAGCTGCCCCACCGCCCCAGGTTTAGGATTTTTTATCCTAAAATTGGGGCTTTTCACACAGGTGAGCCAACCCCACCCCACAGCTGAGGAGCCGGGAAAGAAGAGAGCACGGAGTGATTCCGTCTGCGCCCGGGAGGGGACAGGTCACCTCGACCCACAGGACATCCCCCGACCCCGACCTCCAGCAGAAGCAGGGACTCAGTGTCAGTGGTTCTGACTGGAGGGAGAGCTGGGGACCGGGGTGGAGTTTGGGTTAAGGGGGGAAAGAGCACGGTTCTTGGAGGGTCCCTACACATCAAGTGGGGCAGCATGGGGAGCATCACTGAGCAGCGCCGGGACAGGCAGTGCCCTGAGCTCTGGCCGTGCCCTGCCCGCTCGTCACCTCTCCTTCCCCTATAACCCCGTCTGCCAGCCCCCAGGCTGGTAAGTGCCTGCCCCGCCCTTGGCGCCTCCTGATGTGGCTGATGCTTCATCCCGCCCCTCTCCACCGCGTCAAAGCCACAGGGGCTGGGCCTGCTTGGGACAGGGGTGAGCCCCATAGTGAACACAAGATCCCAAACCCTCTGAGGCCAAAGAGCGGAACACTTTCCTGGAAATTCTCAAGAATCCAAGTCTGGGTGACAGACTTGGGAATCACTATCACGTGCCTCTGGATGTGAAACCGGATCAAAATCTGCAGGAAAAAAAAGTCTAACATCAGACAAAGGGAGACCGCCTGGGGTCAGCTCGGGCGTCTCCCTCACAGTTCGTGTTTGATGGTGCAGTCAAGCCGAAAAGTCAGGGATGGCAGGAGTGTCTATTACAAGCTCTTTTGTTCCAAAGGCCTTTAGAAACGAAACGGGCGTTTTCTGAACGGTTTTAGCAGTGTGCCTGTGCTGGCTGCTGCTGGAGACGCTCAGAGGACCTTGAGTCCAGTCCGCCAAACAGCTGGACATTAGAGGAAGGAAGAGAGAGAGACGCTCCTTTTCCGTTCCATCAGCTGCGGGGCTGAGGGACACGGCCTGGGGGTTCCACGTGCACAGAACTGCCTGCTGGTCAATTCTGTGACGGGCTGAGACAGGAGCGTGGCCCGAACAAGTGGGAACGTGGCGGCCCCCAAGGGGCAGGTGAACACCGGAAAGTGCTAGTCAGTCATCAGCTTGTCCAGGGTAAGCAAGCGCGTCCTCCTCCAGCCCAGTGGGCAGCCCCCACCCACCTGAGCTGAAGACTTGCTGTGCTTCTCTGCGATCCTCTGAATCACAGGGTCCTCCAGCAGGTGCACCCCCTCACTAGAGCCAAGAGCACAGGGCAGGCGCTGTGAGATCAAACACGTCTGCATCCTTCTTAAAAAGAAAACAAAACTTTCTCCAAAACGGAAAAGCTAGATTTATGTTTTTGTCTGATCACGATACTTGCTCAGTGTGGGAAATGTCAAAGATGCAGAAAAGCTGGTCACCCAACTCCTACCATCTAGAGATGACCCCATAACATTTTGGTGGAGATGGCTAGACACGTGGCTTTTCACGTATAGTTGGTGCTTTTTCTGAGAACCAGCGGGCATCCCCAGGGCATACAAGATCATAGGCTCTCCAGGGTCTGGCGGGCCCCTATCACATTTAAAGGCTCTCTGACTTCTGAGCTCTTCTTGTAGGCCCTAGAACAACGCCTACAGCACCATAATAAATAACGGTTGATGAGGATGATAACTTCAGAAGAGTTCACCTCAAATACCAAGACAAGTTGAGACTGTGAACAGGTGGGACCTAATGTGCAGAGGATTTGAAGGCCAGCACAGAAGCTCTATCCCTCAACGTCTGTCCTGCAGAGGACAGGCCCCAGTCACTCCGGAGAGCCACTTATTCAGCAAATGTTTATTAAGCATTTACCACGTTCAAACACTGGGCTAGAAACAGGCTTCGGCCTCTCCTGAAGGAACCAGCAGAACCCACTCCATTCTGGCCTGGGCCCAGGATCTCAGGGGGCTGCCCTCCCCCCCGATGGCTCCCACCACCCCAAGCTCAGCTGCCGAATATGACCCAGCTTTCTAGGAACTCCTGAGCTGCTACCAAGCTCTAACACACATGCTCTATTTCACACAGGAAACACACAGGTAATAACAGTCAAGTAATCTCAGCCTTTTCTGGGCCCCTGATACGTCCCAGGCACTGAGCTGGGGGCTGGGCAGAAAGTCATGAATTAGGTGCAGTCCCTGCACTCAAGGAGCTCTGACAAGGGGAAGAGACTGAGAAGAAAATAATGAGAAGACAGTGTGACAAGGGCTGTGGACAAAACATGAATAAGGGGAGTCAGGTGGGCTTCCTGGAGGAGGTGATGCTGAATCGTGCCTTTCGTCAGAAACTGGAGTTAGCTAGGTTAAAAAAAATACTACTACCAACAAAATCTCGAGGTAAAGAGGACAGTATATGCACCGAGACCAGAGAGAACATGTTCCATTCCAGGAACCTCGCGTAGTTTCCAACAGTACCAGTGTGTCTGCAGGAAGAAACGAGGCCAGAAGTAGGCAGAGGCCAGACCAGTCAGGACTCCTAGGCCATGCCGAGAAGGGAAGGAGATTTAAGCAGGAAAGTGACACAATCATACTGAGACAGCGCCCTTCAGCTACCGTGTGGACAATGGATTGGAACTGGGCAGATCCGGCAGGAGTTAAGAGGCGGCTATCACAGCCTGAGAGAATTCTGATTTAAGGAAGGCGGCAATGGAGAGAACAGAGACCAGGAGACAGACTCCACGTTCTCTGGCAGCGCCATCAGTGGATGTGCGGATGGACTGGACTGGGGGCGTTGGGAAGGCGTGACTTCCACCTTTCTGGCCGAGGCGGCTGAGTGGGTGGTGGCTCCTCCGCTGACGTAGGGAGCACAGTACACAGTTCAGTTTCTGGGGAAAGTTCACATGTGGAGGTGGAATCCACAGAGATCGAGCTGTCTGCACAGCATCCCGATAGAGAAGTCTGGTGGAGGACTAGATGTCGTCAGGAGCTCGGCGAAGAGGTCGCTCCCAGCTGGTTATGTCTCTAAAAGGGTCACTGCCCTTCTCAAGGCAGCCCCTCAAAGTGACTTGCCTCTGGCTCCCAGTGCCATCTCCCTCCCTCAGCCCACTGGGCCCAGGGGTGGCGACAGTGCCCCCTGCAGGGAGCCTGCGCTCTCTCCACACCCTGCCCACACCCTCATTAAGCCCTCCACTAACTAACCACGTTAAATTGGAGGGTGCGTCTATTTCCTGCTAGGGCCTCAACTGGCAACCACTGGGCATCTCTACCTGGAGCCACCGAGGGGCAGGTAAGCCGTCACGGACACACCTCTGGATTGGCAAAAACTGATGAGATTCTTCTGTGTAAGATACGGGTGGCACTCGATCTACAAAGAGAATCGCAGCTTACCAGAGGAGACTGTCTCCTAGCACCCTCGAGAAGAGGGCCGCCCTTCATGTCTGGGCTCCGCTGCTGACAAGCTATGTGAGCACCTCGGGGCCTGAGGGTCTAGGCCCGTGACATGAAAAGGCTGGACTAAGTGACAGCTGAGATGCCGGCCTGCTGTAACCAGGCTTGAGGAACACTTACGTCATCTGGACGCTGGCGCAGCACCCGCTCGGTGAGGTCCCCCAGCCCCGCCCCCTCACCTCCTCTGCAGCACCAGCTCTGTCTGACATCTCATGTGTGGCAGTTACTTGCTATTTTCTATCTGCTGCCACTAGGATGGGAGCTCCTGAAGCAGGGCTTTTGGTCTGATCTTGTCTTGTTCACAGACGTCTCCCGAACATCTAGAAGAAGCCAGCCTTCCAGAAGTTACTCAGTAAATACTTGTCAAGTGAATGAACGAAGCTGGGAGTTGCATGTGACAAACTCACGCTACAGGCAACGCCAACCCAACAGGCCTTAGAGAAAGGTCTCTCCCCATTCACCCGTCACCTGCCTCACTGCTCCCTAAGTCACGATTTTGGACAGACACGAGGGAAAAAGGCCTCCTTCACATGCTCCGCTCCTGCTTGCATTTCCAGTCCGGCCGTGTGGAGATAACAGCTGAACAGCCAGCTCCAGCCATGAAAGCCGCGCGGCTGCTCACAAGCTCACCTGGTTGTTCACCGGCTTGAACCTCAGGTTGGGTTTGTTCAACAGCCTCTCAAGCTGCTCGTGGTTGAAGTTGGACACCCCGATGGCTCTCACCAGCCCTGCATCCACCAGCTCCTCCATGGCCTGAAGAGAACTAGGAATTACTTGGGCGTATGGGCTCTGTCTACTCCACTGACAATCCACGTCGCACAGTAGTCTTAAACTGGCTCCCCCCACTATTTTTAAATCTTTCACGTGAGGCTTCATCGGCATTTCCACACTCGAGGTCTCCTCCCAGCTCCATCACTTGGTAGCTGGGGGACCTTGGGCATATGACATGACCTCGCTAAGCCTCGATGTCCTCATCAGCAAGACGGGAACGACCTTGTCCAGGCCCCAGGGTCAGTTCTAGGATTCCATCAAATGATACACACAGAGCATTAGCTCAGGGTGGGATCTAGCAAACACTCAACACACTCCAGCTGCTGCTACTGCTAGTATTCTGAGTAACTGCGGATATGGGGCTTGCAAAGATGTCCAGTGCAGCTTTCTTTGCTCACTTCTCCTTCTACCCTAGAATATAACCTTCTTAGGGACCATGATGCATCAGCACTCTCCTAGTCCACCCTCCAGTTAACATTTTAAGGGACTCAAGGGCAGAGCCAGCCAAAGCTTTGCGCTGGTCACAGATCAGCGAGATGGTTTGGCCTTCAGCTTCAGAAAGAGCGTGGCTCGAGGCCAGGGTAAGTGACAGTGACAAGTCTTGAGTGGGTGCGGGGCTGGTGACCAAGTCATTGTGCACCAGTTACTGCCTCAAAGCTGCAACAATCACTGGGGACCTCAATCGTGCCACACAAAAGCCCCGAGTTTAACCCAAATCTTTAGGAGAGGCAACATAGTGTGACAGAAAGGGTTGGCCCCTAACACTGGTCCTGACATCTCAGACACCTCTGGAGTCTCTGCTTTGCTGGAAGGAGAGGCCAGCCTGGCCTGGTACTCCTCCCTGTCTGTGCTCCCCTCCTCTCCCTGCCTGGAGGACCTCCGCACTCCCCGGGCTGCACCCATCAATCTCACACGAATGGCTCCAGAATCTCATCTTCTGAAACTCAGCAAGTCCCGATTTGAACTCGCTTTCTTCCTGTGTCCCACACCTGCCGTCCTCTACCCTTGTGTTGTTTGCAAGACTGCACACACCTGGTCGCCTGCGCTAGAAGCCGGGGTCGGCAGGAATCCACCTGTCCTCCTCCCACCCCCTCACTTCACTGCCACGCATCTCACACCCATCACCTCCCCTGACTCCCACTTTACTTCAGGCCTCATCGCTTTTCGTCCAGACTCTGGCAGCAGGCTTGAAACGCAGTGACCCTCCCTCCAGGCTTCTCCCAGCCCCACCCCAAACTTCACCACGCTGCCAGAGTTGTCGTTCTGAAATGTTTACAAAAGAGCTGAAAGGAATCATAAAATATTAGTAGTGGTTACCACCGGGTAATGGAAAAATGGATTTTTAAATTTTTTTTATACCCTTCTATAGTTTCTGTAATGACCATGTGATATTTTTTAACCAAAAAAAATAAACATTTGAGAATAAAAAAGAGGTCTGAATTAGCTATCCCTAAAATAAATGTTTCAGAGACGAAACAAACTAAAGTAAGGAAACCAGACAGCCGTCTGTCGTCTCAGGTCCTCAGCCAGGTGTCCGTTTCCGCTTCAGACTGCACACCTGTGTCTCGAGGAGACAACCCAGTGTCTCTGAAACAACAAGCTCAGGATCTCACGGCTCAGCTCACCTCCCACGTGTCCAGGAAGTCCGTGTCGCTGGGTATAACCATGCCTTCTTGGTCCAAGGGCAACTCGTTTCTCCCAGACTGTGAGAACCAGAAGAAAAGAGCTTACTGGGGGTTTGTGGTCACCTCTGAAGAGGAGACAGGGTGGCGGGAGAATCCGGATGTAGGGGAGATGCTGGAGGTGGATCAGCAAGTCCAGGTCAGAGCCACGGCCCTCACACTAAGCCGAGTGCCTTCCCTTCTCCAGGGCTGGTGTCACCTGTACAAGACCAAGGGCTGGGTGGACTGGATGGTCAGCAAAGTTCCAGCCAACCTCGACGTTCACTGCCCACCTTGCACGGACAGGAAAGGGAGACCCTGAACCCTCGCCTGTTACCAGAAAAGCATTTAGCAATTTCAGGTAAAGAATGGGGAAAAGGGTCTTCCTTCACGTCTTAGGAGCCCCCTCCATCAACCTTCTCCCAAGCCCACTGTTGGGATCTTCTTTTCTTACAATTCTCATCACAGTGACAGAGAATGGAGAATTAACACAAAGTGCCCGGGAGAGTAGGGCAGAGGGACGGCATGAAAGGGGGACTGAAGTCATCCCTCAGAGCACCTGCAGGTACCGCTTCGCAATCTGCCTTCCTCGCCCACGCACGGCTCCGTGTAGCATGTCACGGGGGATGGGGGACGACACATGTTTACTTAACAACACCTACTCCTTAGCTCGAGCAGCAGTGGGGAGAATGTCTAAAACTGCGGGCTGATCCACATCTTAGGGAAATTGTTCATGATAAACCGAAGCAACTGTCTGGCTTCAAATCTGCCTCCCATGTGGACATGATATTTCTCTCTGCCTCTGCACAAACACCCTCCTGACCTCGCTCCCAACCAGCAGACAGCACAACAGGTCCACCGGTTCCCACCTGGCTGAAGACGCACTGTCTACACTGCATGAGAATAAGGCCCAAGGAGTCTCAATATTTCTGCATGATGTTTGGATTCCCCTTCTAAGCATTTATGCTTTATTTTGTTAACTCTCAATTTCTCATAAATGGAATTCTATTCGGTAATAGGTTGAGTGATCTGAGGGCTCTTCCTTTTCTATCCCCCAGGCATCTGCCAGAAGATGCGGGCCTGGCAGAGCAACGGGCATCTGACCTGAGCACCTGCTTCTGGGCCCCGATAATCTTACTCAACCTTTCTGCGCCTCAGTTTCATCATCTGTACGTTGGAGATATTAACAGTTCCCACTTTAGAGAACCATCGTAAGGACTGAATGAGTTCACATGTGTAAAGTGCCTAAAACAGGACCTGGTTCATCGTTAAGATAACACTAAGAGCTGACAGTAAGTGCGACCCAGCTGTTATCATTATTTTAAGCATTATTCTCTGAGTGCACTGGATTTCAAGGATACAGAAATAATTTCTGAACCATTCTCTCTTGTTCTGCTCCCTGGGTGTCTCTGTTCTCTATGGATGTGCCGGATGCACAGTGCCACATCCTTTTGTGACGCTAAATACAAAGCCTTCACGGAGAGCTGCGCCAGAATGAAGCAGGTTCTGTTGGTGCACCAGTAGATCCTCCGACAGGTGCACCCACGGGAGGTGCCCAAGGGGCACTCGCCCACTCCGACGTGGGACGAATCCTCCCCAGGACTGCCATGCTCCCCGATGCCACCTGTGTGACTGTGTCCTCAGCCAGAGAGGCTGTCATCTCAGTCTGGGGCAGGTGTGCAGGGACATCCTGGCCAAGACCAACATAAGACTGAGGCCGGGAAGCTGCTGAGCAGGGTTTAGAGACAAAGGGGATGTGCGGAGCAATCAAGTAAAGAGAATAAAACCAAGTGGAGAAATCATCCACCGCCAGGTCGAGTGGACCTGCTGCCAGTGAACAAGCGAATGTCTCCCAGATGGCGAAGGAGCAGCCACTCCCCAAAGAGAACAGGCCCAACAAGGAAAGACGGAGCCAAGGAATTCACTTAGCCTGGGAGGTGACACGGCAGCCGCTCGGAGCAGCAGTATTTCCCGTCTCATATCTGCTCTCACCTGAAGACCTCTAGGCAAACCAATGCTCTCTCTGCTTGGAGAAGAAATGACTGGTTTGGAACAAAGAATCACAGTGTGTCAGAACTGTGGGGGCCTCAGAGGTCCCCATGTCCAAGCCTGCCCTGAGCTGAGGCCCAGAGATAACCGAATGTGTGTGTGAGGCCGACGCAGCCCGAGAACCCACACGCCCTGGCTGCTGGCCCAAGCTCGTCCCACAACCAGATGGGGTGTGATTGGGAAAGGAGGCGCTGCCAGCAGGGTATCTCACCATCTCCCGAACGGTACCTGGAAACCCATGGGCCAGTGCATGAGGTAGAGGTCCAAGTAGCTCAGCTTCAAGGCCCTGAGACTCCGGGTGCATGCTGCTTCCACCAGGGACTTCTCATGGCAGGTGCACCAGAGCTAAGAGGAGAGGGAGCAAGCACTGACACACGGGGCCACAGAGCCAGTATCAACACGACATCTGCCACTGGGGCCCACAAGTCTGGGATCCGGAGGAGGAACAGCCTCCAAGACTACATGGAACAGACACACTAGAGCAATGGCATCATCCTCAGAGGGTTCCGGGACCCCTCAGGGAGGGATCTCCAAAGCTGGGCTCCTTTGGGCTGATTGCTCCAAAGGGGAGTTGGAGACCCCGTGAAATATTTGACGGGAGGGCCGTCTGGTGGTTTGGATCCACTGGGAGCCCCACCCAAAAAACAATGCCTGCGGGCAGAAAGGATATGAGGAAAAGTCAGAAGAATTTCTACATCGTGTTTCTCACTTAAATGCACTCTATGTTAAAGGTCCTCTGCTCCTAAGGCCTCACAATCGTGCAGGATAAGAAGTTAGAGAAGTTAACATACACCGCCTTACCCTTGTTAGACATCTCCATCCACTCCCTCTTTAAGGAGAAAATCTGTCATTTGCTTTTCCCCTCATTTAGTATTAACTGTGACAGAAACTAATCTGAAGGCCTATCACAGCAAGAAGAAAAAACAAAAATAAATAAGTAAAAGAAAGACGATTAGAAGATGTAAAAACAAACTACAAACCCAGAGTATTAACAAAAGTGAGAAAAACTGCAAGTAAATACATCACAGTGTAAACAACAGTACTCTCCGGATGGGGAGGATATAAGTGATTTATTTTTTTTAATTGTATTTCCCTGACTTTTCCAAACTTCAAGCACTCTGAGCACACACTTCCACTGCTGGCTGTGATGCACTCAGGAGCAACCCATCCCCAGACTGGCGGCCAGACTTAGGAATCTCCAGTCACCCATCTCCCCTACCTCGACAGTCAGAAGGGATTCCCGCTCCTCTGCCACGTTCACAGCCAGGCCTCTCCACTACCAGCCCTGCACTCTAGCTTTAGACAGCACTGAGGAGTTACAGAAATTATCTATTTTTTTTTTTTTCCGTTTAAAGATTGGCCCTGAGCTGACATCTGCTGCCAATCTTTTTGTGTTTCTTCTCCCCAAAGCCCCCCAGCACATAGCTGTATATTCTAGTTGTAGGTTCTTCTAGCTCTGCTATGTGGGACCCACCTCGGAGTGGCCTGATGAGCAGTGCTAGGTCTGCGCTCAGGATCTAACCAGTGAAACCCTGGGCCGTGGAAGCAGAGTGCGCGAACTTAACCACTCAGCCACGGAGCAGCCCCCAGAAATTATCTTAAAGTAATACAGAAAAGCAAATCTATGACAGAAACAACAGTGAATCTTGCAATTATAGAAATTTAAATCACTCGGGAGACTACTGAGATCCAGAGTCTCGTTTTACATGACGAAGCTTGGACCCTGAGCCATCCAGTGACTGACCCAGTCTCTCACAGCCCGTGACCTACAGCTGGAATGTGAACCCATGACTCCTGGCCTAACATTCTTTAATTCTCCACTATCTCAGTCTACGCTGGCATTTCCTACAGGGGCCGCCTCCTAACTGGCCTTTACAGCCACTCTTCTTCTCTATCGTTTCCCACTGTGCTAGTTCAGGCTGTCATCATCTCTCACCACACTGCCGTTAATGTCTCCTGCCTCCTATTCAAATGCATGCTTCTTTCAGCTGCTACAATCTCCTGCCTACAATACAAGTCTCGCTTATACAGAATATAAGTCCCCTATTTAATAACCTCCAACGGTGCTCCTCTCTCTATGCGAAAAGACTAAGCTCCTTAGATGGCATCCAGGCCTTCCATGATCTGGCCGGTCCACTCCGCCAGCCTCGCTTCTCATTGCTCTCTGCTGCCTAACAGTTTTCGATCCAGGAACGCCAAGCTTCTTCTAGGCCCCTGAACCAACTGCGCTGTGCGTGCCTTGTGCCTTTGCTCGAGCCGTCCCCTCTGCTTGTCACGCTGTCTCCAACACCTTCACCTGCACCACTCCCAGCACATGCATGAAGCTACAGACGTCCTTGTCAGGTCTGGTCCAAGTACGAATGGAGTCATCAGCTCCTCTGAGGAGACCAGAGAGCCTCCATGCGCTGTTTCAGCGACCTGCTACCCAAGCCCCGAGTAGTCCACGGGCATTCCTACCTTACTGACAATGAACAGGTCCTCCCGCTTTACCACGCCCTCCTTGACCTTGAGCTGGATCCCCACTCCAATCTCAGTCTCGTTGTGGTAGAAGGAGGCGCAGTCGAAGTGTCGGTAGCCGGCGTCAATGGCCACCTTCACGGCATTCGTCACGTCCCCCGGAGCCTCCTGCCACATGAACAAGACAGAAGTCACTCAATTTCTCCTTCTCTTTCTAGAATGTAGAGTCAACGATACACAAAAAATGAAGTCATTGAGTCGGTACTGCTGTCAGTCAGTCCTAACATTGGGGCAAGTCAGAGTCAGACAGGATTTATAGATAATCTAAGTTCCAACTCCTTTACTTACTTGGGGAAAACACCACAGGTATTTTTCGTGCCTGCAAGTAACCGAGCTAGAGGCAATGCTTCCTGAAGGAACGAAGGAATCAATAAGCGCAGGATGAATAATAATAACAACTGAGACACAAGGAGGTAGAGACTCACCTCCACCCACAAAGACCACAAGTCCAAGTGTAAAGGTCAAGCGGTGTGTCCTCTCACAAAGATAATCCATCACACAGAGCATCTGCCCAAACCCACAGGCACAGTGTGGGTTCCATCGGGAAAGCGGAAGTTCAGAGAAGAAGCAGCTCCCTGTAGACATGGTGCTCAAGCAACAAGGGCTGGAACTAGAGGGAAAAGCGTGGCAAAGGCTCACGACACCACGCGACCGAACACTCCCAGAGGGTGTCATAGCTCACAAACCACTTTCACACTTGAACTGCACAGGGAGCCCATGAGATGTAACAGTATAATGATCTTCATTTATTAAGCAACAGATTCAGAACGGTTGAAAGCTAATGAACCAAGTATCCATCTTAAATTAGAAAAAGAACCACCAAGAAATGAGAAGGAAAGAGAAAATGAAAATAAGAATGAGGGCCCCTGGGACTGGCTCTGTGGCCGAGTGGTTAAGTTCGCACGCTCCACTGCGGCGGTCCAGGGTTCAGATCCTGGGCGTAGACATGCCACCGCTCGCCAGGCCACATTGAGGCGGCGTCCCACATCCCACAACTGGAAGGACCTGCAACTAGGATATACAACTATGTACAGGGGGAGTTTGGGGAGATAAAGCAGAAAAAAAAAAAAAAAAAAAAGAACGAGGGCCCGGCCCTGTGGCCTAGTGGTTCAGTTTGGCACGCTTTGCTTCGGCAGCCCTGGGTTTGCCGGTTCAGATCTTGGGCACAGATCTACACCACTTGTCAGCCATGCTGTGACAATGACCTACAAACAAAGTAGAGGAAGAGGGGCCAGCCCTGTGGCTGAATATTTAAGTTCACGTGCTCCGCTTCAGCAGCCCAGGGTTTCACCAGTTTGGATCCTGGGCACAGACATGGCACCGCTCATCAGGCCATGCTGAGGTGGCGTCCCACACAGCACAACCAGAGGCATTCACAGCTAGGATATACAACTATGTACTGCAGGGCTTTGGGGAGAAGAAAAAAAAAAGAAGATCAGCCACAGTTGTTAGCTCAGGTGCCAATCTTTGGGAAAAAAAAAATTTCATTTAAAATAATTATTAAAAAAAAAAAAGGAGAGGAAGACTGGCACAGATGTTAGTTCAGGGCGAATAGTCCTCACAAAAAAATAAATAAATAAGAATGAACATCAAATAAAGATATGCTAGAGAAAATCAACAAAGCCAGAGGTCACTTCTTTGAAAAACCTTAATAAAGTAGACAAACTTCTGACAAGACTGAGAAGACCTTTTTTCCTTTTCATGACATGAACGAAAACCAGCACATAAAGGTAAGAGATTTAAAATCTAAGAAAATATTATCAATAACTATAAGCCAACAATTTAGAAAAATGAAACAAAGTGAAAAAATTCATAGGAAAGCTTAAGAAGAAATAAAAGCTGAACTGTCCTATAATTATTTAAAAAGTGAAGCGATTAGTTAAACACACACACAGTTCTATAAAACTTTCAAGAAAGAAATCATCCCACTTTAACATAAAACCTTTCAGAGAAAACAAAGAGAGGAAATACGCCCAACTCCTTCTACCAAGCCAGCATAACCCTGAAATCGAAAGCAGACAAAAATATTGAAAGGAAAGTTACACATTCATTTCACTTATGAATATAATTGTAAAACTCCTAAGTAAAATAATAACAAATTGGATGCAATAATACATATGGAAAAATAATATACCCACCCACATTGAGTTATCTTGGATAGCCAAGGATGGCGTGATATTAGAAAATCCACAATAATTCACCACATTAGTAGATTAAAAGAGAAAAAAATTAAAAAACAAGAAAATCATCTCAATCGCTGTTGGCTAAGATTCAACACCCATTCATGATTTAAACTCTCAATAAATTAGGAAAGAAGGAAACTCTTTAACCTGATAAAGAATATCCATGTTTAAAACAACAGCAATGACAAAATCAAGAATAAAAACAAACAAACCAAAAGACCTAGGGCAAACATCATCCTAATCCTGGACACAGCAGAAGCATTCCCTTTAAAATCAGGAACAAAGCAAGAAGGGCCCCTGCAGTGGAGGTCCTAGCCAGAACAAGCAGCTCAGAAAAAGCAATCTGAGACTTCAGGATTGGAAAAAAGGAAATGAAACTATCATTACTCGCAGATGCATAAGATCATGTATGTAGAAAACCCAAAAGCATCTATAGGCAAGTTAAAACAATAGTATCGTTTAGCAAAGTGGCTGGAAATTTGATGAGCATACCAAAGACGACTGTTTTTCTATGCACCAACAGCAAACAAGTTGAAAACATAATTTCAGAGAAGTGTCACTTCCAATAGCATAACAGACCATCAAGCACCCAGGAATACATCCAACAAACGAAGTAGGTGTTCTCTAGAGGAAAAACCATATGAAGAGATAATTAGTGACGGAATATATTTAGGACAATTTATTAACAGAGAAATATACCATGCTTGTAGAAAGACAGATTTAATGTCATAAAGATGTTAATTCCCCAAGTTGACCTATAGATTTAACGTGATTCTACAGGCCCAGTCAGAGCTCCATCTCCACCTCTCAAATCTGGGCGGTCCTTGTGTTTTCCTTGGACCAAGAGAATGCAGCAGAGGGGCGGGTTCGAAACTCAGGCCTCAGGACGCCTGGCGCGGTCCACCTAGTCCCCCTTGCTCTCTTCTGCCTCGGCCGTTACCATGGGAATATTCCCAGACCAGCCTGCTTGAGGAGAAGAGGCAAGTGCAGGCAAGCGGGGGAGTAGCCACAACGGTCCCAAGTGACACCTGACAAACCCCAGACGTGTGAGAGAGTCGGGCCAAGACCCACACAGCTGCCCAGCTGACCACCTAATGCAGGGGTAACGAACCACACGGTGTTGTAAAGCCACCAAGTTTTTGTGGTTGGTTGTTGATGTAGCTATCTCTTGGGCAAGAGACAGCTAATGGTAGATTTGTGATGTGACATCATCCAAAGTAACTAAATAAAACAAGCCTTTGCATGGATCAGGGAAGGGTGATCGCAATTAATCCAATTCTCTGTACCTGAGGTCTAACAATAACCACAAATGAATGTCTCAGCCCCTTCAGAACAGTTCTCACAGCTTTTCCTTACCCTGTGTACAAGAACACAGGTGTGGACTCGCACACTGAGCTGTGTGCAGACGACATAGCAGACAACGGACAGAATTAAAGTCAGGCAAGAAATGCAGAACACTTAAACCCACCCAGTGCTTACGGAACAGCTGCCTACTGTATGTCTTTGGCTAGATGCTGAGAACCACAAGGAATAAAATTACATCCTTGGCCTCTAACAGTTGATAAGTGGATAGAAGAAATAACTGAAATAATAATTGGATGAGCAGGGGTTGGTCATTCTAATTCCTACTCATCCAATAACCTCCTAAGTGACTTCTTAAATGAACATCTTTTTATTAAAGACTAAGTTAAGGGGCTGGCCCCATGGCCGAGTGGTTAAGTTCACGTGCTGCACTGCAGGCGGCCCAATGTTTTGTTGGTTCGAATCCTGGGCACGGACATGGCACTGCCCATCAAACCACGCTGAGGCAGCGTCCCACATGCCACAACTAGAAGGACCCACAATGAAGAATACACAACTGTGTACTGGGGGGCTTTGGGGAGAAAAAGGAAAACAATAAAATCTTTAAAAAAGAAGACTAAATTAAAAAAAAAAGCACATTTGAAAGGCTTTTTAGTTAGTGCTGTGTCTTAATCGCTGACAAGAATTAGAAAGTCCCAAGCAGAGAAAGTTCCAACATGATCTCACTATCGTGTTTTTGCACAGGGAAGGAGATAAAGTTTCAAAGTTCCTTTTTTACAACCCAGTTGGCAATGTCAGGGCTTCCTTATCCTTTCAATCCAGATAACATTTTCTCATCTTCCAGGCTGGCTGCTGTTCTGATCTAGTTAGGTGACTGTCAATCTTTCTGCCCTTACCCAAGCCTCACAACCTTTTCTTCCGGGCTTTCCCTAACATTCTTTCTGAATAATTATGATTTGGCCTTGTGGGGACCTGGAATTGGCCACCCCAAGATATGTCTCTTTGGCATCAGGATTATTTGAGGCTGATTGCTTTTGATAAACTGGGACAGGGAAGGAGGAATGGAACTTGCCCTTTCTTAGGACACATTTATGTTTGTAAGGTAAATCTCTATCTGTAAAAGGTGCCTCCCCCTCTGTACCAGGAAGAAGAAAGGTGATGACCTTCTCTCTAAAAACTCTTAATCAATACCAAAGGCAAGGACTTAAATCTGCATTTTATTGTGCTAGTCTGGTAACCTCCTGTACCTGACTTCCCTCCCCCTCCCAACTTTGGCATTTCTTTAAGGATTAAGCATCTTTCTTTAGGCTAGGAACTGATTGCTGAGCTCACCTGTGACCGCCCAGCTCCAGACAACCCACTTGCCTCTGGCTACGCCCTCTGAGACAGCAGACCCACTACCTGCTGTGTCCATCAAGCAATGTGCCGACAGGGCAATCTTGTGACTATTGTGGGAGGGACATTTCAATCACATGTGAAACACCCTGTTTGGGGGTATATAACCACTATGTGCACCCCACTTCTTCAGTGCCCTTTCTTCCTTCGGGAAGAAAGGCCCCGGGCCATGGTTCCTCATAAAGCTTGGTTTAAATTTCTCTTGCTATTCTGTCTCATGTGAATTTAATTCGTTCTCCAGCCAGACGAACCCACATTTGGGAAGAGGAAATGTCCTGCTCCCCTACAGCCTCCATATGAAAATACCACAGGGAGACCTCCATTTTCAGAAAATCTATCTAAAAAGTCCATCTTTCAAACACAAAGGAGGAGGCCCAGAGGGAGGTACGGGCGACCAGCTGAGCCGGGTCAAGGCTGCAGCAGGGGTCCCTGCGGGTGTCCGCGTGGGTGGCCCCGCAGGTGGCCCCTCCGTGTCAGAGCGCACGCGGAAAGGAAAGGCGCCGGCTCCCCTCGACTCGGAGGCCCGCTCACCTTCCAGGTGCCCAAGCCCAAGATAGGGATCTTCTCTACCGTCTCCATGCTTCAGGACATCTGTGGCCGCCCCATGGCTCCTGAGGGACGCCCCCACAGCTGACGCCCGGATTGGATGGTGGCGCCCACGCGCCGGTTAACTGTTGCCGGTGGGCCCGCCCACATCCTTGGAGGAGGAAGGTCGGAGGTCGGGGAGTGGATGTGCGCACACGCCAGGCGTTGCTACCCAGGCAGGACCAGGGCGGGCACCGGGTCTCCCAGCAGGACGCCCGGGGAGCACAGCATCTGGAGGGGAGAGATGTCGGACTGACGGGCTGGGGTCCCGAAGTTCCCAGGGTCAGCTGGGCCGGGCCGTCCCCAGGGCGCCCGGGACGAGGGTGAGACCCCAACACCCACCGCATGGGGAGAGAGCTGATTCCTCCTCTAGAAATTGACGTGCTTGGGGCGGGGACCCCGAGGGTCCCACAGGCTCGTGGAAGAGCTTGTTGGCCTTGGTTCTCCATCGCTAGCCCTCTGTGCTGAGTCTAGTAAATGCTTTGCACGCCCTGCGGTCTCTGGGAACAAAGGGCAGCCTGGGGGCCTGGGGCGGAGGACCTGGGTAGTGCGGAACATGGCAGAACACTGGACCGCTCTTGGTGGGACCAGGGACCGGATCACCCTGCAGGAGCCTGGGGTCCTCGGTTGGAAGTGAACGGAGTCATTGACCTGGCTGGGGTGTGGAGGCCTCGTGAATGATCTGGACACCCCAGGATGGTGTATGGAAACTGGGGGACATGGAGGATCCGAGGTCCTCATCCCCCCTGGAGCCCGCAAGTCCTGCTCCTTTGCCCCCTGGGGCCTGGGAACCCCACTGCCTTGATGACTCCCAAACAAAGGTGTGTTTTAGTTTCGTGTTTCCTGCCTGTGCCTGCAGTGCTGATGCTGACCACCAGGGAGCGGCTGTGCCCACTGTGCTCAACAGAGCAACTGGAGCCTGGAAGGGACGCCTAGAGGTCCCTCTGGGCCTCCCCCTGTTTCCGACCCAACATGCACCTTTTGTTACTAGCATCCATGCCCACAGTGTGAGCTGCTCAGATGCGAGAGGGGACTCTGAGATCCTCTCATTCAGCAACTGTTTCCCCAGCACCCGCCCTGAGCAGGGGCCTCCTTAGGCCAGGGGGCGGTGCTGAAAGGACCAACATGGTGTCTGCCCTCCAGGAGCTCACAGCCTGGAGGGGGAGGTGGACAAAACCACGAAAGCAAATCCACGTGAAAGAGAAGAGCAGGTGCTGTAGGGAAACGAAGCAGCGTGGTAGAGGGAGGGGAGGCCCCGGGTGGGGGCTGAAAGGCCTCCATGGGGACGTTTATTCTCTAACCAGCCAGCCCTGCACAAGGTTGAGAACAGCGTGCCAGCTGGAAGCCCAAAGGGGCAGAGATTCTGCGGCAGAAGAGACTTGGGCCACAGACGAGCTGAGAAAGGAGCCGGTGTGTCTAGAGTGAGCTTGGAAGGAGAGGAGGGCAGGGGCAGACCCTGGGGCCTGGAAGAAAGTGCTAGTTATCTATTGCTGTGTGACAACATTACCCTAACTTAGCACTTACAGGAACAGACATTTATTATCTCACAATTCTGTGATCAGGATCCAGGCTCTGCTCAGCTGGGAGCGTCTGCCTCAAGGCCTCCCAGGAGGCTGGGGCTGCACTCTCACCTGAGCCTCCACGGGGGCAGGATGCGCTTTTGAGCTCATTGACGAGTTACTGTGGACCCACAGTCTCAGTTCTTTTCAGTCAGCTGATCGTTGATCAGAGCCCTCTATTGATTCTTTGCAGTGGGAACCCAGGTGCTGGGGGGATAAGCACAGGAAAGCAAGCAAGACAGAAGGTCAGACTCTGTAAATCCTCTTGGAGGTGATAGCCATTACTTTTGTCATATTCTATTGGTTAGAAGCCAGTTACTGAGTTGAATTCACCCTCAAGGAAGGGATTACACAAGCACATGTGGACCAGGAGACAGAGGTCTCTGGGGGCCATTGTGGCTGCCCACCACATAGGCCGAGATGAGTCACTTGGGCCTGATTCTGAATATGAGAGGTCATTGGAAGTTTGATGCCAGAGGAGGATAATATCTGAATTTCATTTCATTTCAACCCTCCCATGGGATAGACAGACTAGGAAATGAACCCAGGCCTGTTTTGAGTTGTATCCTGTGCTACGTCCCCCTCCTTTTTGTCGTTCTCCCATCTCTAAGTTTGTGTATTAACCATATATATCACCCTACGAGTTTCATAGGTCTTCTCTCTCATATGCCTGATGACATCCTTAGGAAGTAAATGCTAGAATGGTCCCCGTGGTGCAGACAGGGAGACTGGGAGGCCGTGTGTGTGTGTGTGTGTGTGTGTTGCAGGGGAACATGAGGCACTCCCACCCCGTGTGGGATCAGGTGGTTGGGGATTACAAACACAGGGCTTTGCCCTTGAGTGGGCACATCCCAATCCCAAGGAGTGGGGGCTGCTCCCTTCCTCTGCCTCCATCCATCAGCCCCTACCCCCGGCCACTTGCAAAATTACTTTAATGCACGTGTGGAAATATCTGAGAAAATTCTCTATATACTGCTTTCTCTTCACGTTACGGCCATGGGTATTTTTGCATTTTGCTACTGTTCATATTGTTGGCCCGTCCCTCCTTCGTCCTGCCTCAGCATCAGAATCAGTCAGTCCTGAACCTGGGTGAGACTTGCAGGCTGGAGACCATGAAGGCAGGCCGGCTGGAGAAGCTGGTGGAGCACCAGGTGCCTGCCCTCCAGAGCAGAAGCGCCTGTGTCCTCACCTGCCCGTCCACCTACTGCAACCTCGCCAGCACCCAACACGTCATGGTTTGCTCTTCAAAAAGTAGGTGTTTCTCCCCTCTACAGCACAGTGGTCACTCAGGCACCTCCTAGCTGTGTGTCTTGGGATTGTCACTTCCCCTCTCTGATCCTCAGTTTGCTCATGTGAAAACTGGGCTGCTAAGAGGACCAAACTCATAGGTTGTTGCCAGAAGTGAATGGGATATGCCCTGGACAGTGCTGCCCCTGGGCCTGGCCCTGTGGGAAGGGATGCCAAGGGCTGTGGTTGTCCTTATTTATGATTTTCCTCTCCCCCGTGAGGAAGCTCTCTGCCTCAAGCCTCACCTATCGCGTGGCCTTCAGCAAAGCTGTTTCCCATTTGTAAAGGAGGTTTCACATTCTGTGTGGGGGAGCCCATCCTGGGTGTAGCCAGAGCAGGAATCCCTGGGGGCTGGCTGAGGGGCCCCAGGTACACTCAGATGTCTGAGAAGGTTCATTCTGTCAACAGTATATCTATTAAGTGCACACAGTAGGTACAGGTACTTTTCTAGGCACTTAGCCTAGTTTAATGATCGGAGCAGACAAAGCTCCCTGCCCTCTGGGGCTTCCATTCAACTCGGGGAGTCAGCCAGTCCCACCAGACATCAGAGCAGGCAGAAGACACAGGATGTTCAATATGACGCCCTGCTGGCCTCTTTGAGATATGGATTGCTCTGCCCTCATGGTCAGAAGGATGACAGATCCCAGGAACTACTAAAGAAGTGAGTGGGCTCTGGGTCAAGAGAGCGGGCTCCTGTCTCCACAGTGGGGGACATTTGAGGGCTGAGGCTGGGGTCCTGGGCAGACCCTGGCTTCCATACCTGCTTTGATTCCCACTAGAGGGCCCAGGTCTGGGTCTGCTCCTGCAGGAGAGGAGTCAGAGAGCTGCCTCAGGGAGCAGAGGGGAGGCTGGGGGCTCAGAGCTGGCCCCTGAGAGAATCTATCCCCACCACAGCCCCTCCCAGCCCTGCTCGCCCTCTGCCCTGATCCTGGGGCCCAGGACAGGATGTGTGGGGAGCACCCTGCTCACACATCGGCCTTGCACCTCCGTCCCCTGAGCCCAGCTGCACCTGGGGCTGGGGCTGGCTGTGCCTGCCATTCCCGAGAATAGTGTTGGTGGGAAGACGAGCCCCACACATAGCCACAGAGAATAAGGGAGCATGTTGGTGCACGAGCTGCAGGTTGAGGTGCCATGCTGGCCCGTGAAGGCTGGGCAGGACACACTCTGCATGTTCCCTCCTCCTTCAGATATTTCTGCAGCACCTACTGTGTACCAGCCAGTGCAATGAATGGAGCAGGTACAGCCCCTGCCTGCCTTTGTGGAATTTGCCTTCCTGTGAGGAAAGGGACAGAGACGTGTGTCAGGCTTCCCTGAGGAAGGGGACAGGGGTCAGACCCTTGATCTGGGCTCCTGCAGTAGACACTCTTTGTAGCCCCTGCCTGGACAGCCAAATGGGGGTGCACTGGAGTGGGGCTGGCCTCTGGATGGGCAGGAGCTGGCACAAGAGCCCAGGTGCTGCAGGTGTGTGAGCAGGAAAGGCCAGGCCTCTGACTCTGCTGCCCACCTGCCTACCTCCAACACGGTCCGCTCCTTCCTGGGCACCTGGCTGGATCAGCATCCAGAGGATTTTTGTCAGCCTGTGCGTTTGACTGCCCTAAAGCAGTTTGTGGCTTATGTGCAGCTCAACATGCCTGGCTTGAACCTGGAGCACCGTGCCCACCTTCTCCTGACCCAGCTGGATGACCAGGAGCCCAGTGAGGCAGAGCCCAAGGGTGAGGAGGCGAGGGACGGGTGCATGTGAGCATATGAGGAGGGATCCCTACTGGACCACTGAAGGGCGAGCCCCCAGGGGCTGGTGTAGGGCCAGGAGCAAACACTGGCCTCAGACCACCCATCAGGTGGCCTGCAGTCTGGGAAGACGTCCTCTTGTGGGGTCCTGGGCTGCAGCTTCTCTAGAAGGCACTGGGAGGTGTTCTGTCTTTGGAAAGGCACATGGGAAGGCAGTCACGTTGATCTTTTCTCCTCTTGCAGCTCCAGTGCCATCTCCAGAGTGGCGCTGGCTCCAGCACCAGCTCCCGTACAATGTCGAGAGCTGTATTCAGCTGCAGACCTGCAGAAGCAAAGCTTCTCGAGAGTTAGAGGCATTTCCGTCTTTAGATTTGGCCCCACCTCCAGGAGCAGGTCCACAGCTAGAGCTAAGTGCACAGCCGGTCCGAGCAGAAACTCTGGTGCTAGGGCCAGCCTGCATCTCTTACCACCTGTGGGGCTGGAGCTACTCCTGGCATCCCTCAGTGCCAGCTCCTGAGCCACACCCAGCATGGAGCCTGCTTCCTCTCCCCTCTGATGGTATCATTTTCTTAAAATTTATTTTATTGTATTTTTCTCTTTTATATTTTCATTTTTTTAAACATATTAAAATTTAGATTAAATAAAATCTAACCTTTTAATCATTTTAAATCGTTCAAGTCAGAGGCATTAAGTACTTCCCCATGCTGTGCACCCAGCAGTACTATCTAATCGCAGACTACGTTCCTCTCCTGAAAAGGAAAGTCTGTACCCCAAGCTGTCACTTCCCGTCCATCCCTTCCCCATGCCCCCAGCAGCGGCTACCCTGTTTTGTCCCTCTGTTTCTTTACCTAGTGTGGATTATTCATATAAATGGAGTCCTAGATGTCGCTTTTTGTGCCCGTCCACATATTTTAAGAGGGGACTAATTAATTTTGGCTTTTTTAAAAAATTTAAAATACTTTTTTATTTAAAACAGAAATCCCAGATGAACCAAAGTTTGTATGTGAAAACCGAAGCCTTTATAAGACATAGAAATATTCTAAATCTCAGGGTAGAAACCACTCTTCTAAGTGCCACATGAGAGCCAGGAGCCATAAACAGCTGGCCGTTCTGTAGCCAACCCAAAACAAGGAAATTGTCACCAGTGGAAGGACAAACCAAAACTAGGAAAGCATTCCTCAGAACCCAAGGCCACAGAAAGTTTTTACATCCCTGTGGTACCAACAGGTCTCAAAAAGCAGTGTTTTAAAAAGGGACAAAGAACAAACACATGCAGTTCAAACAAGAAGCAATGCATGTGGCCATAAATGTCAGAAATGCTCCCTCCCAGCTAAGGACACATTCAAATGTGAGCACTAGGGAGATGCCATTTGTCACCATCACTTATAGGTTTTTTTTTTTTTTTTTTTTTTGAGGAACATTAGCCCTGAGCTAACTGCTGCCAATCCTCCTCTTTTTGCTGAGGAAGCCTGGCCCTGAGCTAACATCCGTGCCCATTTTCCTCTACTTTATATGTGGAACGCCTGCCACAGCATGGCTCGCCAAGTGGTGCCATGTCCACACCTGGGATCCGAACCAGTGAACCCTGGGCCACCGAAGTGGAACGTGCGCACTTACCTGCTGCGCCACCGGGCCAGCCCCCACTTGTCTGTTCTTATGTCTGGTGAGACCAGTCCTGGTGAGTGTGAGGAAGCAGGGGCCCCCGGGATGGAAGTGTGAAAGGACTCTGGGAGAAGAGCTCACGGACCCATCAGGTCCCACAGGCCCACCTATAACCCAGCAGTGCTGATCCCAGGAATTTATCCAAAAGAAATTCCTCCACATTTTTCCAAAGATATAAGACTACTTGTTACAGTCTGCACAGACTACTCACCGCAAGGCTATGGTCCTGGTTCTGGCCCTGTCCATGCCTCCTGCCACCTCCTGCTCCATGATCCAGCTTCTGAGGTCGGCAGCCAGGCCCCGCTCCCTGCGACAGGAGGGCACGGCCTGGCTGCTCCCTCTGCTCCCTCTCCCTCTGGGCACAGAGCCCCTTCCTCTCAGTCAGGAAAGCACATCTAGGGCAGCTCAGCAAGTCAAGGGGACAACCCTGAACGTGCTCCATCCAGATGAAATTCTCAGTTGCAATAGCAGAACCCACGTGAGCTTGTGTGAGCAGAGGAGGTCTTTACGAAGCACAGAGGGGGCTCAGGGAAGCTGCTGGAAGGTCAGGGCATTGGGCTGGGGCTGTGGAAATGGAAAAAGTACTCAAACCACATCTGAGGCTTCACCAGGAGTGACCCCTGCGCCAGCCCACAGCCCACATATCCAGCACATTCAGCTTCTACGTGGGAGGGGGCTCTGCTCAGTGGGGGAGGGAGAGGCCCTCATCTCCCTCAAAGTTGGGTCAGGTGGAGTCCACTTGGTGTGAGTCTGCTGGGTGAAGCCACGGTCAGCCACATGTCTGCCCAGACATGGAGCTGCCAAGCAGAGAACATTGTCCTCAAAGGGAGAACTCGCCAGGTTCTCCCTGGAGGAAGAAGAGAGAAGCCCCTGATTATACAGTGAGCAGATAGATGTGAGCAGAGGGCAGTGAGGTACAGCTGCCATGTGGGGGGACAGTGCCTCCTAGTGGTTAGGGGCACAGACAGACCCATTGACCTTGGAGAGGTGTTACTATATGAGCCTCAGTTTCCTCCCTGTGAAATGGGGGTATGGCAGCCTCACATCGTACTATGAAGACAAGTTCGATGAGATTGCATCTGGATTGCCCCCTCCCATCATACTAAGAGCTCGGCATCTACTGGCTCCCATGATGAGGACCGGACACAGGACCTGCCACCTGGAAAGGGTGGCCTGTCCCAGCGGGAGGCACATTCTTGGGTCACAGGTGCACTGTGAACATCTGTAGCTATCCTTCATGTGTGACAAGAGTTGTCAAAGTGCCTGTCCCCTGTGCCCCAAGAATGGGACTCTGGAAAAAGACGCAAAGCAGTGATTTGCCAATGGTGTCTCAGCAGTGGTGTCTACAGTGCAGGAGGAAAAATGCACTGGGGGCCCAAGATGCACCGTGGAAAATGCCAGGTGGTGACTCCAATTGCTGCTGCTCTCTAGATGTGACTTCATTGCTTGAGCAAAATAGCTCATCCCCTCATACCTGATGTGCATCCACTGATCTGGGAAATGTCTTTCCTGTCCTACCTTGGGGTATATCAGCTCTCCAGCCATCTCACAATTTAGTCTGCAGGGATCTTAGCTGTCTTCCCTTCCACAAGACATCACACTGGTCCATCACATTGATGACATTATGGAGACCAGACCCAATGAGGAAGAAGTGGCAACTATCTAGACTCATAGGTAAGACATTTGCATGTCAGAGGTGGGAAATAAGTCCAACAAAATTCAAGGGCCTATACATAGGTGAAATTTCTAGAGTACCAGTGGTCTGGGGCAAGTTGAGATATCTCTTCCAAGGAGAAAGATACATTGTTTCATCTGGCACCTCCTTCAACCAACAAAGGCCCAACTCCTAGTGGGCCTCTTCCCATTTTGGAGGCAACATATTCCTCATTTTGGTGCACCACTCCAGCTCATTTATCAAGTGACCTGAAAAGCTGCCAGTTAGAGTGCGGCCCAGAACAAGAGAAGGATCTGCAGCAGGTCGAGGTTTGCTGTGCAAGCTGCTCTGCCACTTGGGCCATATGATCCAGCACAGCCAAGAGTGCCTGAAACGTCAGGGGTAGACAGGATGCTGTTTGGAGACTTTGACAGCCCCTATAGGTGAATCACCGCACAGGTCATTTTGAGATTATTTTTTTCTATGGTGTGACATAAGGGTACATCTTCATTCTTTTGCATATGGATATCCAGTTTTCCTGACACCATTTGCCGAAGGAACTGTTCTTTCCCCATTGAGTGGTCTTGGCACCCTTGTCCAAGATCACTTGACCATATACACCAGAGTTTATTTCTAGGCTCTCTATTTTATTCCATTGATCCATTTGTTTGCCTTCATGCCAGCGCCACACAGTTTTGATTGTGGTAGCTTTGTAGTATGTTTTGGAAACTGGAAGGTGGCCCCTAGGATTTTGTTCTTCGTTTTTAAAATTATTTTGGCTATTCAGATTCCCATGAACTTCCACATGAATTTTAGGATGAATTCTATTTCTGCAAAAAATCCTATTGGGACTTTGATAGGGACTGCCCTGGACCTCTAGAACGCTTCGGTATGGACACCTTCGCAACAGCAAGTCTTCCAAGCCACAGACGTGGATATCTTGCCATTTATTTTTGTATTTTTAAAATTTTTTCAGCAATATCTTGCACAAGTCTTTCACCTGCTTGGTTAGGTTTATTTCTAAGTATTTTATTCTCTTTGATACTATTATACATGGAATTGTTTCTTAATGTTCTTTTGTTGTTACTGTATAGAATTGCGTGTTGATTTTGTATCCTGCAACTTGGCTGAATTCTGTTTTAGTTTTGACAGTTTGTGAAACTTTTACAGTTTCCACCTATAAGATGTCATCTGTGTCTCCAATGTGGTTCCTCTTACTCATTTTTACTGTCTAACTGTTCCAGCTAGGACTCCCAGTACTATGTTGAACAGAGGTAATGAGAGTGGGAGTCCTTGACTTGTTCCTGAACTTATGGCAAAAGTTTTCAGGTTCTCACCACTGAGGATGATGTTAGATGTGGGTTTTTCACAAGAGGCCTTTATTAGGTTTAGCTTCCTTTTATTCCTAGTTTCAGTACCTTTATCATGAAAGGGCGTTGAATCTTGTCACATGCTTTTCCTGCATCAGTTGAGATGATCACGTAGTTTTCCCTTCCCCCCGTTAATGTCGAGCACTATGGTGTTTAAGCCGTCCTCAGAACGTGCTCTCATGTTCGGCTCCCCTCATTGTTCTTGCAGCATTCATGAGTGTCTGTTTGTGGGAGTCTGCGCTGGGATCTATACTTTCTGTTGCTCCATGTGTCTATCCTTGCACCTCTACCTCACTGCCTTGTCACTGTAGCTTAGTAAACAGTCTGAGTGTCTGGTATTGTGTGTCCTCCAACTTTGTTCTTCGGGACTGTTCTGAGTGTTCTTGGCCCTTTGTATTTCTCTCTAAGTTCTGAAATTAGCTCAGCTGTTTCCACAAAGAGATACCTGCTGAGGCATTTCATGGCAATTATATCAAAACTATAAATCAAATTGGGGAGTGCTGACATTTTAATATTATACCAGCATAAAAGATCCTAACTTAAAAAGGGACAGATAACAAGCTGGAAAAAAATATTTGCTACTCAGAATCTCAGGCAAAGGGCCTATCAACCCCTATAGAGATCTCAGAATCTGATTATAAAAAGAGCAGCCATACAATATAAAAATGGAAAAAAGACATTATCATACACTTCACAAAAACAGAAATATAAATAGCCTTAAACACATGAAATATGCTTGGTCTCAGTCATGATATGACAAAATTACTAAATGCAAAATATTGCAAGTATACTCTGAAGCTTTGTAGAAATAGGAACTTTATTCTTCATTGGTGGAAATGCAAGTTGCCTTCCACGGAGGCAGTTTGGCTGTATCTATCAAAATTATAAATGTCTTTACCCTTTGATTCAACAATCCCAGTTCAGGGAATTTATACCATGGAAACACCTCTACCTTTGATAAATGTATACGGTTATTCATTGCAGCCTTTGTCATATGAGCAAAAGATTGGAAACAACCCAATTTCCTTCATTTGTGATCTAGTTAAATGGATGATGACCACCCATGAGATGAAATATAATGTAGGTGGGAAAAGACAGGAAGAGTATGTGAAGGGAGGGAGCTCTTTACTGATGTGCAAAGTTCCCTCCCTGGCTGCTGGCTCGTAGGGCTGACCCTCGCTGTTCTGTCCCTCCCACTTCAAGCTGGCTTTTTTGAGCACCTGGAGACATGGCTTGACTAGTGTGCCACCAATGCCAGGGTGTTCATGCCCACTGGGAGTAAAAGCCCAGGAATCTGGGCCCAGTGTGGACACTGACCAGAAAGGGGACCCTAGCCAGTCTCCTGGAAGACATTTCCCAGTTCCCTCGGTGAACTCAAATGCCACTTCTCTGGGTTACCAGTGGGAAGACATCACAGGGAGCTCTTTGTCTAGTAGGATCAAGATGAACTTCATGGAGGAAGCTAGGAATGGATTTCCTCACATGCCCATTTTAAAGATGGCAAAACTGAGGACCTGTGAAGGGAATGGTCACAGGGGATCAGGTGTAGCATGGGTGTTTAGACCAAGGAGTCCATCTCCCTCCATCCCCACCTAGGTTGGCAGTTGAGCTGCTGGACAAGGACAGGTGTACGATCTGCTGATCTTGGCAGCTGCTCCCAGCTGAGCTTGGACCATTGCCTGTGACCCACACTCCCTCATTTAAGCCCTGCTCCAGTCAGCTCCATGCAAGCATGGGTTGTGCTTTTTCTTGGCTGTATTCCCAAGCCTCTAGAATAGTGCCTAGCACATAGTAGGCACTTACAGATGTACTGAATTAGTGTAATCCTCCATACAGTCCTATGGGGTAGCTGCTGTTCTTTTACAGATGTGAAACCTGAGACACAAAGGGTTGATTCATTCATTCTTTCATGTATTCAGCACCCGAGTACTGCTCCCTGTAGTGTGTAGGCACCCGGAATATAAATGTGAACCCCAGACACCTTCCCTGCCTTCAGAGCTCACACCCTAACAATGGGACAACATCTAACCCACAGCCAGTGAGTGGTGGCTACAAAGCTACAGCCACCCCTAGCACAAGATCTCACACAGCCATGAAGTTGGAGATAGCCCTAGGACCAGCCATGGAATCAGAGACACCTCCAGCTTGAACACTTGGACCAGCTCGAGAGTTACAGACAGCTCTGGTTCTAGCTCCAGACATAAAGCAATACCCATCATCAGTTCTCTCACCAATTCTGGAACCAGCACCAGAATTAGAGTCAGCCCCAGAACTGCAGCCAATTTTAGAACCAGCTTTAGCTCCACTGTCGGAGATAGAGGAGCTCCAGCACTGGCACCAGAGCCTATGCCAGTGCCACAGCCAAAGCCAGATGCACCTCTAGCATCCGCCATAGCACCGGCTCCAGTGCTGGAGCTGTCCTTCCCTCCCTAGTGATGACAACTTTTGCTTTAAATTTTCCTTTTCTATTTCATATACTTATGGTTTATTAGTTTATGTTTTAAAATTTACATACAATGAAAATTTGCCTTTTAATCACTTTAAGTTTTTCAGTTCGGTGGCATTAAATAAATTCAATATGCTGTGCAACCATCGCCACTGTCTATTTCTGGAATGTTTTTATCATGCCAAACAGAAATCCTGTACACATTAATGCAGATGCCCGGACTCTGCCAGGCACACCTGGCCTGCTGCTGGCTCTGGAGGATTCCAGAAGCTCTGTTCAGGAGCAGGGGATACGTGGCTCTTTCTGTGTGTGCAGAGTGGGAAACACTGGCACCAGGAAGGGTCCAATCCCCATACCCCTCAGCCCCTGACCACCACTAATCTCTTTTCTGTTTCTATGCACTTCTTTCTCCCTGGCCCTGGCCCGCTCCTGAGCACAGCTGGCCCTCTCTGTCTCTCTCCCCACCAGAGCTGCAGACCCCTAACGCCAACCTGTGCTATGCATGAACCCCAGCACTAACCGTGACTGTGTCCTGAAGAAGTGGACTTCACCAAGGGGGTGAAAGTCAAGCACGGAGCCAGCTCAACCCTCCCTCGCATGAAGTAGACAGGACTCAAGAGTGACAAGGACACCTTTGAATTGGTCCCTACCACTGGCCAGCACAAGGCCGCACCCCCCAGGGTCTGGCTAGTCAAGTAGCTAAGCACTTACAGACTCCAGTGTCCCAGACCAGGTGGGCATCTTCGGCCCAACCTGCCAGCCCAGGCCACCCCCAGAGTCCAGATTCACCCTGAAACTCTCCTGCTGCCAGCCATCATGCCTGCCCTTCCACAAGCTGGACTGGCCTCCCTTTGTCCGCTCACAGCCATAAGTTTCTTCTGCTTTTTGGGAACCAGACAACTTGCTGCCACTTGCCAAGGAGCACTGGCAATGGGGACAGCAGGCTGCCCACCTCACGGGGACCACCCTCTGTACATATCTCTCACTGCCTTCCAGAGTGCTGGTCACAGCCACTGGTGCCCACAGGCATGTCTCACTATCCAGCCACAAGGGCACCAACATGGAGCCCAGGACCAGTGGCAGCTCCACCCCTGGTCCTGGGACCACTCAGGTGTGGCCCCCACCTCAGCAGTAGGCATGTGGCTAATGTGTTCAGCGTGCATTCGGTCAGCTCCTCCAGCTCTGAAGTGGAGGTCGTCACCTTGAGCTTTGTCCTGAAGTCCACTGATGACCAAGAAAAGCAGCTGAGTGCCCACCCCTTCTCCCTGGCACTTCCACAGGCCCTCTCTTCCCAATCTGCACCCACAAAATAAGCCAAGAAGCCCCCATTTCTAGAAGCCTCCAAACCCGCATCCTGACATGGGGTGTCTGCAGAGTTCAGGGCCTCTGCTGACCTTGCCATCCCGCTCTGTTCTGGGAGTCAGCCTCCGCACAGTACCCCCAAATCTACGGCATCAGTTCTGCCTCCAGCAGCATCTCCTCCTCTTCAGCTTCCACCATGCCCATGACGGCCACACAGTCAAGGGCACTGTCTCTGGGCTCTGCTAACACAGCTCTTTTGTTCTAGATCCAGCAGGTGACCGATGATGCTTCATCCCCTCAGCCTAGAGGAACCCAACACCACCACAAACGAGCACGCTGGTGATGTGGACAGGTGGCCCGGCCCCTTGGTCCCTTTGTCTCCTGCCCACTCCCAATTTGCAGTGGCCCCTGACTCCCTGCCTGGCATTCAGAGCCCTCTGTGATCTGGTCCAGAGGCCTTCCCTAGAACCCCACCCCAACTCCCGCCCCAGCCTCCCTAGAGCCTTCCTCACCCAGGCACCCCCTCCAGAGCCTGGCCCCCTCCCAGCCCCAGCCTGCAGTGCCCTCCCCTTCGCCCCCCATCCTCGATGGACTCACCTCCAAAGATGGGCTCAGAAGCCACTTCCTGGGCTCCTGTGCACAGCACAGCCTTTGAAGTCAGATTGACCTGGGGCCACATCACAACCCTGTGATGGCAAGCTTATTTCGTGACTTCTCAGAGCTTCATTTGGGCTAGGCTTGGTCACTCAGAGCTGAGTGACCTTGAGCAGTGGTGCCACCGCTCATCTATAAAGTGGGGTGAACTCACTGAGCGTCCAGGAGAGGCTCCTAATAACAATAACCACCCTCAACCCTTGTTCTGCCTCACTGTGGGGCCACCTCCTCCCGGGGCTCCCTGCAGCCACTTACACCAGTCAGGGCGGCCAGGGACAGGCTGGCCCTCATGTCCCAGGGTCCTGCCAAAGAAGACAGGGAGACGGGGGTGTAGAGGAGGAGGGGGAAGGAGCGGCCTAACCTTCTCCCTGTCCAGACTGTGTCCACTGCTGCTTCCAGAACCCCTGACCCAGCCATCCATCGCACTGACCCCTGGGGTGGAATCTGGGGGCCAGGACAGTAGAGTGGGGGGTATTCTGTGACTCTCATGTCCCAAGTCTCCAGCCCTCCTGGCTGGAGTGGGGTGGCCCAGAGGTCCCAGAGCAGCAGCCTGTGGGGACGTGTGGTACTGACCAGCTGGGCACCCTTGGTGTATTGTGGGTGCTGTCTGTCACTGTGGACAGGAGGCCCCTGTGCCCCGGAAGGACCCCGCCACACTCACCCACAGGGCAGGAGCCTGGGCAGCATCCACACTGAGCCAGGTTCATGCAGTTCCATGTGCAGCCCCCATGGGACAAATGGGAAACTGAAGCCAGGAGAGGTAGGGACTGGCCCAGGGCCCAGGAGGTGGGCAGAGCCCAGAGGAGAAGGGACGGTTTCGTACTCCTAGGCCAGGGCTCAATCCTCCCATAGGCTTTGCTTTGGGAATGAGAGCCCCTAAGATCCTGGGGATCCCTGCCCACTCCTCCCGTGTGGAGCCGTTTCCTCTGGGCATGCCCACACGCACACGCTCCTTCTATCTATCCATCGATATGCCTGGTATGCAGAGAACATTTTTGGAGTGTATGAGAAACTTAGCAGTGTTACCTATGGAATGGAGCAATGAGGAAGAGATCATTTAAAACACTGTGGATATTAGTGGATTATTTTTACAATATATATAATTTTTTAATTTTCAAAAATAGTTCATAAATTGAAGCAATGTGAGAAAAGGCACTTTTATATTTCTTTGAGCAGTTCAAAAATGTAGGGCTAATGTATTTTTTATAGAAAGTCATTTTAGAAATAATTATTTTATTATTGATTATTTAGAGACAGATACAGAGAAAACTCACAAATTATAAATCAAGTAGATTACTATTTAGAATGTGCTTCACCCGAGCTTGGGAAATATTTTGTGACTCTGTACAGATGGGTTTATTTATTTAGGGAATACAACTGGGGAAAAATAATTGTATGATAAAAAATTGTGACCTTTTGGTTGAGAATATTTCTTCTAATAACATTCTCCAGTTGTGGTGAACTGCGTGCAGACTTCAGTTTGGGTCTCCTGCCCTCTAGTGGTCATTCCTAAAACCGCAGACAAAGCTGTATTAAGGTCAAATGTTTGAAACTCTTAATACAACCCAGGTCTGTGAATCACGCTCTGAATTTTAAAGACTTGAGGAACCTGAGAAATTTTCTCACTCAGTTTCCTCATTTTAATTTTGTAACATAATCACCAAGTCTAGATTACATACTCCCTTCAGATTACTGACATAAAACTGACTTGCAGTATCTCTTGACTTTGACTTAGAGAGTAAATTATTCAAAGCTACAGTAATTTTCTGTAAAATGTTTACAAATATAGTATAATGTTAGACCTTATAACTACCACATAAAGGTTTTTACAAATAAATAGATAAATGAAACACTTTTAAAAGTACTCACTGTGTTTCCTACTATTAGGCAAGTCATTTATATACTATATTTTTTATTCCTCAGAAGTTCTCCATACACCTTGTGAAGTATATATTGTATCCAGATTTCAGGAGGAAATAAAGTGATACTGAGGGAGGCTGATAAAATTTAGGAAGTGGTACACCCCAGACTTGAAAGACTGAATTTTGTGCCTTACCTTTCCTTCTTCTTTTTAAAATCCATAGTTAATTAATTTTAAATTGATTTAAAATGATTTAACCAGAATAAATTGGTAGTGTTTTAAAGTTTTAACTTGTTAGTTTGTTTACAGCAACACTTGTATCTCATATTTTTTCATATCTAATGTATGTCAGCCTCAAAGACCTAGGTTCTTCTATAAAGTTTAAGAACCAGGCCGCAAGATTTTAGAGAAGGTGAGTTTTTAGAAAGTCTTAAAAAAGAGGTTTTTCATTTTTTAACTGAAGAACTTAGCAGCAGAAACTAGCACTTAGCATCCTTTTCATGGTAGACAGCAACAAACGCTTGTGGGCCAAGAAACATGCACCTTGGGAAAGAGTTACATCCTACAGAACTAAGAGTATGACTTCATATAAAAAGGATCACTAACTTCAAAAAGAGTCTTCATTGCTATGTAACTCCAGACTAAACTTTCTTAAGAGTCCTCTGTCTAAATGAGCTTCATTAAAATATCCTTTGGGCATTCCTCTGACAGCCAGTTCCAGGTCAGATCACTAAGCTCCTAGGCATCCACAGACAGGTCACCCTGGTCATGCTAGCCAGCAACGACTTTTCCTCTCATGAATTTCTATGACATCTGGTTTATGCTGCTTCTACGGTATTGTCTTTACACATAGGAACAATGAGATAACCCCCAAGAACTAAAGAAAAAGAATCATCCTATAAGAGTTAAGCACATAAAACCCATCCATAATGGACAAGGTGAGCTGTTTGTAAAAGAACCAGAGACGTGTCTGGAAATGTGTGACTCCCCACAGAATCAAGCGACTGGAGTGAAGCCTCGGGGAGGCAGATCAGAGGCTCAGCTATAAACAGGAAGCTCAAATCTAGAGCCACTCGTACCATATCCTGTGTGAAGAGTGTGTAAAAATATTCATGTGACTGTTTTGATGTTAATTTAATAATAATAGCTATGTGAAATACTTAAAATCCAATGGTTCTCAGTATTAATTCAAGCAGTTTTCACACCCACCCCCAGGAGATGGGGTTCTTGTTAACCAGACATTCATGATAAATAAACTGAGACATGGACAAGTTCACTAACTTCCAGGATCTCAGTCTACAAGTGATGGAGCAGGACTCACTCCTGGATTCTACAGTCAGCACACACAAACACCCACTATCCTGCCTCATTTAAGATAGTCTACCCTTGTGATGGTCAATTGTGTGTGAATTTGACTGGTCCACGGGTGCCCAGATATCTGGTCACACATTACTCTGGGTGTCTCTATAAGGGTGTTTCTGGATGAGATTAACATTTTAATTGGTAGAGTAAAGCAGATTGTCCTCCCCAGTGTGGACAGGTCTCATCCTTCTGAAGGCCTGAATAGAACAATAAGGCTGACTCACTACTGAGTAGGAAAGAATTCCTCCTGCCCGATGGCCTCTGAGCTGGGACCCTGGTCTTCTCCTGCTTTCAGACTTGGACTCAGACTGGAATTTACACTATCAGCTCTCCCGAGTGTCTAGAGCTCGTTGACTGTTGAGGTTGGGGTTTCTCAGCCTCCATAATCATGTAAACCAATTCCTTATAATAAAAATTAAATATATGTGTGTGTGTATATATATATATATATATACACATACATATATATATATATACACATATATAGACTGGGAGAACCCGGACTCATACAGGTTTTTGTCCTGAAAACGGGGATACTATATATATAAAAATACATATATATACACACACACACATACATATACACACACATATGAAACCTTTATAGACTATAAGCTCCCACCAACGTGGAAATGTATGTTAGCTTTCCACTGTATATCCAGCACTTGTTAAAATTCCTACTGAAATATAGGCTTCCTAAATTAAGTACGTGTTTCTTGGAGAAGAGAAGTGTCCAGATAGCAAGGATCTGCCCTTATTCTTTTCACACAGCGCTGTCTGGGAAAGAAAGGGACCAGATCTCGAGGAAGAGGAAGCATTTGTTCCCTTAGTTATCAGTCACTTACTGTGAATGTAGCATGTACTGTGAAACAGATCTTGTGCTGGGTGAAAGAACACAGAGATAAAATACACAATTCCTGCCCTCACGGGCCTCACACTTTTCAGAACGACAAGTAAAATCCACGTGGATAAAATGCTAACTAACAGGGTGACTTCTGTATTAACCTTAAACGGGCATGGACCTAACAACGAAGCTTCAAAATATATGAACCGAAAGCTGATAGAAATGAAAAGGGAAACAGATCCACAATGGCGGCTGCAGGTTTCAATCCGCGGCTCGGTAATCACAGAATGAGTAGGCAGAAAACCAGTCAAGATAGGAAAGATCTGAACGACTCTATCCACCAACGGGACATCACTGGCAGGTATAGAGCACATGCACATGCTTTTCAGGAGCACTTGGAACATTCGCCAAGAGGGACCGTATTCTGGGGCGCAGCATGAGTTTGGGAACGTGTACAAGGACCGAAATCCTGCGGCCGGGTTTGCACTCCTCCTAGCCGCAAAGCCTCTCCTCTCGGGGGGAGGGGGCAGGCGGAGAGGACTCGGCAGGGACAAGGTCGCATTCGGGGGTGCCAGGCAACCACTGTTTGCAATTACACGCACCTGCGCTCAACAGCGTCAGAGGGCGTGAGGGGAGTGGAAGGATCCGAGAGACCTGGAAGAGCCGTAACGGAGAGGGGTCGACTCCCGCAGAGACCGTGGGGAGGAGGGGAGGGCGCGTCAGCCAGGAATCGCCCCGGCCGTCCAGCACGGCTAACAGGATGGATGACGATTCCGTTCCCCAATAATAAAAAGGAAAGACAGGCCCCTCCATTCCTCCCTTCCTACAAAAGGAATGATCGCTCTAGCTCGTCTTCCTTCTCCAGTCCCGCCCTTTCACCTACCCGCTCCGGAGCCGAAAATCACGCGCTAAGAACGCCGGCATGTTCCGAGAAGCGGAAGTAGATTTCGCGGAGAGCCGTAAAGCGCGCCTCCCTTCCGGTTAACGACACCCGCACCGACTATCACTGCCGGCCCGCCTCCGGTAAGAGCGTCTCCGGGACCCTCGCGAATTCAATTTTTTTCCTTCTTCCGCGCCGTTCTCTGTTGTTTCGCCCCCTTCGCCTTGGATCATGTTCAAGAAATTCGATGAGAAAGAAAACGTGTCCAACTGCATTCAGTTGAAAACCTCCGTTATCAAGGGCATCAAGAACCAGCTGGTGGAGCAGTTCCCAGGCGTGGAGCCCTGGCTGCATCAGATCATGCCCAAGAAGGACCCGGTCAAGATCGTGCGGTGCCACGAGCACATAGAGATCCTGACCGTCAACGGGGAGCTGCTGTTCTTCAGACAGAGAGAGGGGCCTTTCTATCCGACTCTGAGGCTGCTCCACAAGTACCCCTTCATCCTGCCGCGCCAGCAGGTGGATAAGGGCGCCATCAAGTTCGTGCTCAGCGGCGCCAACATCATGTGTCCCGGCCTGACCTCCCCCGGGGCTCAGCTCTACCCCGCTGCGGAAGACACGGTGGTCGCGATCATGGCGGAGGGCAAGCAGCACGCCCTGTGTGTGGGCGTCATGAAGATGTCTGCAGAAGACATCGGGAAGGTCAACAAAGGCATCGGCATTGAAAACATCCACTATTTAAATGATGGGCTGTGGCATATGAAGACGTATAAATGAGCCTGCCAAGGAGTGCGCTTGGGCTGGAGATGGACCTGAGCCCCCTAAAGGAATGCGCTTGGGCTCCAGACGGACCTGAGCCTCCCAGGGAATGCGCTTGGACTCAATGTGGACTCTGCTGTATCTGTGTCCGTGTCTGTGTGTGACAGCATAAAGGCACTACCTCTGTGGTTATGCTGAATAAATTCAACAGATGCTAAAAAAATAAATAAAAGACAAAGTAAAGATTTGGCACAAGCGCATATGTCGGTGTATCTGTGTCATTGTGTGCATATGAGTGCGTGTGTGAGTATATATGCCTGTGTGTTTCTGTGGGTGTGTATTTGCAGAGGGGTGATTAGTTTAGATTTGCTGTCTCTTCTGTCCAAGCAGATATCAATTCAAACGCAAGTGAATTACCTCTCGTAGAAGCATAGATTTCAAAATCAAGAGGATACGGTTGTTAGATAGACCCAAAGTTGTGAGTGAAGCGATGGGAGGAGGAGAATGGCTGGAGGGGGGCCCTGAACAACTGTATAAATATGAACATTTAAGGGATGAGCAGAGGATGTGAAGCGTCAGTAGTTGTACTAGAAGCAGAAAATCCAGTGAAAAGTGTACAGCAGGCATTATTGGTTGTTACTCAACAAACATCCCACCCTTCATCCTTGCTGGCAGAACTCTGTCCATCCCTTTTCTACATAAATCAGGAAAAAGCTGATTAGTCTAGGCCCATTATGATGGTCTTTCCCTGTGAGATTAATTCATTTATAGGTGGGCATGGAACCTAAGGCCAAGTGGGATCTTCTCTATTTAGGAACCCCTAAGAAAATGGGAATCTTTTCTCTCATGGTTTTGAATGGTTTATAGGTGGGTATATGACCTGTGTTAGGGGGCGCTGCTAAAAGGTTTCTGGAAAAAATTTTCAGGTTTTCAAAGATAGGTACATGCGGAGAAACAGTCTCCCTACTTTGGATGGACATTGGCATGTGCAATCTTGTCCTTGCCAACACACACACACAACCTTGATAAGCATAAAGTCAGAACATGGTAAAATTGAAAATGAAAAGCAGCAGTGCCCTTGACGGTGTATGAACTGATGATTAATCAACCATGGAGACTCCATATATTGGGACCCCCTATTAAGGGGTGTGGCTAGGTTATGTGAGATAATAAAATTTCCTCATAGATTACTTCATTTTTACTTGAGTTTTCTGAAATTTAGAGCCAAAGACATCCCAATTTTTATAGAATGGCATGATAGACATCCACCTGAAAAATTCCTTAAAGGGTGATAAAATAGGTCAACTGAGAGTTCATCAGTGACTTTCCTGTGAGCAGTTTCAGTGTAATTCATATGAACGTAAGATGCATTGCAGTAGATTTAGGGGTGAGTGGAAAGTGAGAAGGTAGGATGTGGAAGTTTAGAATTCATGTTATTTTTTACAGAATTTTGATTATAAATGAAAATATACTGGGTGAAAGATAGAGGAAGGTTATAGTCCAAGATATTTTATTTTGTTTTGGAGTTTAGATAATTTTGCTGTTTTTGTCATTTGTTGTTGTTTTTGCATGTTTGCTAATGGTGTATCTGAGTAGGTTTATATGCTGAGGGGAAAGATTAATTAAGAGAGGGAATACTTGGCAGAGATATAATCAGCAGAATAGGGAAGCAGGAAGGAATGGCTTCAAAAGAAGAGGTGGAAGGACTAGCCTCCTGTTCTCATAAATCCACACATTTGGATTATCTCCTTTCACCACAGAGTTGTCATGTAACAACTCAAACACTTTTTATCAGGGGCTGGCCCCATGGCCGAGTGGTTAAGTTCGCGCGCTCCGCTGCAGGCAGCCCAGTGTTTCATCAGTTTGAATCCTGGGTGCAGACATGGCACTGCTCATCAGACCACGCTGAGGTGGCGTCCCACATGCCACAACTGGAAGGACCCACAACTAAGAACCGGGGGGCTTTGGGGAGAAAAAGGGGGAAAAAAAAAATAGAATCTTAAAAAAAAAAAAAAAAACCACTTCTTATCAGCACACTACTTTTTCCTCAAAGGATTAAGGCTTTTGCCCCTATTAATTCACCCCAGTCAACACCACTAACTCTGGCCGTTGGTGGATACCTGTGGAGGACTTCTAAATTTCTCATGATAATATTCTGGAGTACCGACAACTCTGAAGAACATTGAGGGAGACAGTCAAGGTAAGCAACCCTACAGTTCTTCTTTTACCACATCCTAACCAACTCTCTCCACCAAAAGTGGAAGGAGGACCCTCTGGATCCTTGAAAGAGACTTCTTTCAAGTCTCTTCATCTGTGCCTATGCACCCTTTCTTCCATTCCTTCCTGGTTCACCTGGTCTTGTTGGATACTGTTGTAATCATACCAACCAACTCAAAATGGAAAGCCTGTGTACACATTGGAAAGGAGATGGAGATCAAGAGTTCTGTGAACTTCCTGGAATTTCATACAAAATTTGGTGTGTATGTGCATAGATAGATTTATTTGTTAAAGTGTTGTCTACATTCATCACGTTTCAGGTGATCTGTGAGCCAAAAGTGTGTATTATGAACAATTAAAGTAGAAGAGGATCATCTTCACTTACTCTTGGCTAATGCCAGCGCATAGTTCAATGATAAGGCACAAAATACTAACTAATACTGGCTAACAAAGTACAAATGATAGTCACATCTTCCTCCAGCATTCTCCCCACTCCAGGGCTATTTAGCCCAGAATAGTTCAACAAATATTATTTGGTACTTACTTTGGGGCCAGACACTGGGCTAGAAGCGGGGGACAGAAATTTAGATATAATACCACCCTATCTGTTTTCCAAGATCTTATTCTTGTTAGGAAGGCAATCTTATAGATACGTAATTTCACTTTCATATATTTGTGTATGTGTATACAACTATGTATAATAAATATCTGAATTACATATTATGATATAGTATGAATAAATGGGATAAAGTTGCCTTTGCGTAGAGAATCAAAGGGGGTTTCTGCATGAGAGGCTGCCTGAGTGGAGATATATATATATAAAAAAAATGATTAAAGGTATCTTCTTAATGAAAATGCTGAATAAAATTCCAGGAAAAGAAATAGTGTGAACAATGAAGAAATCACAGAAATACAAGCAGTTTGGCTTTTGTAGGCCATGATTTTCCAGGAAAAGGTGAGAGGAGATGAAGCTACAGTCTTATGATAGAGACCCATTTTTAACATGCTAAAGAATTTATATACTTATAGTTGAAATGGGTCTTCAAAAGGCTGTTAAAAAAGAAGGAGACGTGAAGAATATTATATTTTGGATCGATGGTGGTGGGGAGAGGGTGGATTCAAGTGGAGCTAAGACTAGAGGAAGTAACTAATATTCCAATGTTGCAAGTATTTCAGACAAAAGATGATGACACTGGTTAAAAAGATTTGAATTATTTTAAATATATTTGCAGAGGAAAATTTCTTAGGACAATTACTGGATTGATTAATATCAGGAAAGGAAGTTTT